AGTATAGAGCTAGGTAAAGGAACATTGTGAAGATGCAGGGGGGGGTTATCTGTCTGGCAGTGGAAGCAGACAGTGTTATTCTGCAGTTCCTGTAGAAAGGCTGGGGGGAAACAGCCGAATGCCGGCGGAAACTCCTCCGTGTGGTTGGGTCTGGACAGTATTTGTACAGTATTACTGGGCTGCTGCCCTGGTTGCCGGGGGCAGGCGCACAAATGCCTGCGTCAAAGTGAAAGTCGGTGGGAAACAAGCTGGACGCAGTTCCGCTGCGAGCAAAGAGAAGTGAGACTCTGAGCTGGGGGGGCAGGAAGGTTTTTCAGCATCAAGCGGTACTGCCACTAGCCTTTGGGTAGGGTTTTTCACCCGACCCAGCCCTCGCACCTTTCACCCTGCCCAAAGAGCCTCCTGGGGAGCATCTCGCCCAAATAAATCCCTGCTCCGGCTGTGCAGTGTCAGCCCTGAAGCTTCGACCGTTCGGCGCTTCGCTTCTGCCTTCGCTAGCTGGTACGTCACCTTCAGCAAACAAAACCACGGGCTCTGCCTGTGCGTTTACGGCTGCTCAGCTTTGTTGGGACTCAGGTGCGTTGGTACGTGGACGCAGCGTGCAGGTAGCTCGCTTGTCGCTGGCAAAGCAGGCTGGTGAAGATAGCAGTGCTTTACACCGCTGAAGGTAAGTGTGCGCTGAAGCCTTTGGCAGGATTGACACCTTTTCGTGGCATGGTTTGCGCCAGGAAGATGGGCGGCTTGCTGAAAGGTGTCTAAGTCTCCCTGAGCAGTTACTGTGAACGTGCTCTGTGCGGGATTTGGGTAGAAGAGCGGGGGGAAACAGCTCTCTGGGGTGCGCTGGGCCTGCGAGACTGAAGGATTTTAACTTGCAATCCTGCCAGCACACCTACTTCCAATTTCAAGTTAGAAGGCAAGGAGTTTTTTAAATAGTGTCTTTAAAGTTAGTGCGATAGGTAAGGTTGGGATATACAATTTATGTGGAAAAAAACCCCACGCTTTTTCAATGTGACTGATTTGTTTTGAAGAAGATGCACTGACAAATTCTTGCTGTCTCTGTACCCAGCTGCAACCCGATTAATTGAGTCTTTGTGAGTCGCACAAGATTAGGTTAATTTTTTGAAGAGTGTTTCCCCGAGTCCTTACTGACTGTTTTATTTTTCAGCTATAACGATGGAGAACCTGCGTAATGCCAACAGCAGATTTGCACTTGATCTGTTCAGCAGGTTTAATGAGACCAACCCAACGGGGAATGTTTTCTTCTCTCCTGTTAGTGTCTCTGCTGCTCTGGCCATGGTCCTTTTAGGGGCCAAAGGTAATACAAAAGCACAGGTGCTGAAGGTTAGTAAAAAATATATATATATATATATAATTTCTCTTTTGCTTTATATTTTATTTACATTAAAAATTGTTGTGGTTTAGAGGATGGAAAATGAAAGGAGGGTATTATTTTTGTGGGCTCAAGAGAAGATTTCTGTCATGCTCAGAGTCTTCCTCAGGCTCATTTCTGCAGTTACCTTCTGCCTGCTCTGCTCCAGAGCCCTCTTTCCATATTTGCTATGGCCCTTGGTTCTCATTTTATTTCACTTGTTAATTCTTGAAGTAGGAAACTAGTTTCATTAATTAATCAGTCTCCATTTAAATTGATTGGAGTTTCCAGCAGCAAGGCCTTATTAGTTTTCTTGAGACATTTGGACAAAGAACTGTTGCTTTATAATACAAGGTCACCAATGGTATGCTTATTGCTAATAATACTGTCTATTTTGTAAGAAACACAGTAGTAATATATAGTTCTATATTTAGAGGGTAACAACTATAATACATGATGGTGCTACCTAAGTTATCAGTATCTTAGTAACAGCTAGGCACTCAGGTATCTGGAGGAGCTGAGCCCACATGCTTATTCTTAACCGTAGACTTAGTTTAGGTAGGGTAGTTTAAAAAAACCTCATTATAAATTGCAAAAATGGCATACATGGGGGTGTGCCAGTTTCCCCTGAGGCCTCCTGCACGGCAGGGACTTGGTCACTATTATTTTTCCCCTTTGTTAGGCTAACGCCCATTGGTGCAAAAGGGCGTATGAGACTTCTCATTGCAGTCATCATCATGTATTTTGCTATGAATAAGTTCACCTTTGTATTCTGGACTTTAGGAGGAACTGTTTTATACTGTTGAGTGGTGCTGTGCTTACTGCATAAGACAATAAAATTATTTTCTCATTACTTGTACAAACAGACTTTGAATGTGTATTTCATGTAATCAAACTGACAGCCTCGCCTACAATAAATGTCCTGACAGCAGAAATCATGCAAAAAGAACTTGAGAGGGAAAAAAAAAAAAAAAGTTTTTCAGCACAGTCATCCTCAATAATGCACGTTCCCATACCATAATGCTTTGCTTATGGAAACATAGCTGATTAAGGAGGCAGTGACTGGTAACTGTCAAGGGCTGTTTGCAAGCGTATAGAAATCTGTTTCTGTGATCATAATCCTATTGTAGGTTGCCTCCGTGATGTTTTTGCTCAGCTATTCATGTGTACAACACAGCTTGCATTAATGTGGGCAGCAAGGCCTGACCAAAAACCCGGTGAGATAAAATGAAGGCTTTCCTTTGGAACCAGGGGCTGTTTCACAGCAGTCTCAGAAACAGTCTTTCTCAGTCTTCTGAGAAATACATGGTTTAAATCTGAATATGAATGTCCCTGCTCTAGTCTAGCCTTCCCTGTCGATGAGGTCTGGCAGCTTCTGCTGTCATATCTGTAAGCCTTGGCCAGCCAGCTTGCCTCTGGGAAAGGAGGTACTGGTGAAGAAAAACTGCCGTAATGCATTTGATTTTTAAGATGATGCAGTTTTATGTATATATGAGCAATTATATGTTCATAAAACCATAAAAGATAATGGTTCTAAGTTTTCTTAAGACCCAACCTGTGCTAGTTTTGATCGTATGTTCTGAAAAGCAAAACCCCCAGGTTCCCTTGGGCCAAAGGGGAAAGCAAGAAAGCTAAAGTGTCCCTATGGCATCGTCTCCCTTTTCAAGTCCCCACCTGGGAATGAGTCCTTGTGCCCAGTGGTCCACGGAGGGGAGGCACGCAGGTGTCACTGTTGTGATCAACAGCTTCAGCTGTGACGACGCATAAACCAGGAGCTTCATACAAGTAGCTGACACAGGCAGCATAGCACCGAGGAACAGTTTCGTTCACTCTCTGAGGTTTATAGAAGTCTCTAAGCAGCTTCCAGCCTCTTTTCTTTCTTCAACCTACCTACCTGCTGGATCAGACCCATCCTATAGATGCACTGTATGTTCTTTTAAGACCGTATTAGCAGCAGCTAGTTCACTTCTTTTATTTCAGACACTTCATTTTGACAAAGTTCAAGATATTCATTCAAGATTTCAGACTCTGACTATGGATATAAACAGATGCAATGCTCCCTATCTCTTACGGCTTGCCAGTCGGCTTTTTGGAGAGAAGTCCTACAGCTTTTTGCCGGTATGTTGGTGCAGATCATGATGGAACCTGGTGGGGAAAATGCAGCTATTTTGAGTATTTATGAAGTAGAAATATTGCTAGGCATATTTCTAAATGTTACTGGGCAGTCGACAAAAGTGTTGCGTACATGCATATGCATTTCCATATCTGTAGGCATCTGTGCATCTCAGCTAAAGGATACTACACAGCAAACCCTTTTCATTGCTTGTTTGGTTCTGCTGCTTTTGGGCTCAAGAGGAAAACCACTTGTCTAGGTTCTTAGTTTTCAGTAACTATCATAACACCCCACTCTGTTGCAATGAGCTTTTTAGGATGCAACCGGCTCTGTGTCTGTTGCAATCAGCTTTTTAGGATTTTCATTGGTCTAGTACCACGTTACTTACTTAAATATTTTTGAAAACACTGTATTTATTTGGGAGGGGATGCCCAACATGTCTCAACAACATGCCTCTTCACCAGTGAATTATACCCTTGTATGCACCTGGGTTGCTATTTTTATCCCTCTTCAGCTCTTTTGGAGAGTTTTGTTTTATCCTAGCTGTGCTTGAGCCTGTTTCAGGAGAATGACAGGTAAATATTGCAACACCTGCAGTAAGCACCCCCTCAGCTGTATACATGGCAGATGTATTATGAGGTTTACTCTGAGAGGGGAAAAAAACCCAACCTGTTAGAGCCCCACCTCAGAGCAGGTGATAAATTGTTTGACATGCACCTTATCTACATCATAAAGAGATGTTTTCTTACCCGCATGCAATGAAAGCTATTCTTATCGTTCCAAAATCTAGGATTTCCTGACTAATACTCGGAAATTATATGGAGCTGATTTGGCTACAGTTGATTTTCTTCAGGCTTGTGATGAAGCCAGGAAGGAAATTAACCAGTGGGTAGAGAAGAAAACTGAAGGTAAACTACTTTGGTTAATAAAGTAACTGGCAGTGTTTCATACTTTGGGAGCAGGAATAGGCTTTATTCTCTGCTGCCTTTAGAGCAGTTTAATTTTGCCCTGGGATATTCACTTGATGCGTTGGCAACCTAAGCAAGACATTTAAACAGTTCCATAAGTCCTGAGACTTTTCCATTTTTTTGTGTTTAGGCCGATGAGTGCAGGAGAGATGCCAAAAGATAGATTTATACTCATGAGCTGGAGAATTTGTTTTAGACAGTCCCAGTCCATATTGTATATGTATTTCTAAATCCAGTAATCCTAAATGTGGGTATTTTCTAATTCTTGTGTGAGAGTCATATGTGACAGTTTAAGCTAAAAATATTACATTTTCATCAAATTACTGTATATCAAAAGTTATAGTAGCATGTACTATTAAAAAGTATGAAGTAAGGTGACAGGTACTGAAAGACACTTTATTACAGGAATGGACTGGAGTTCTATATTTGTAGTATTTCTGTGGCATCAGTTTCTTCATGTATGTTTTATATGCCAGCAACTTAGTACAAGATTTTGTTGTGACTTTTTTTTCCTACCCCCTCTGAAGGTAAAATCCCTAATCTGCTGTCTGAAGGCTCAGTTGATAACATGACCAAGCTTGTACTGGTGAACGCTATTTATTTCAAAGGCAACTGGGCAGAGAAATTTAAAGAAGCCGACACCACTGACATGCCATTTCGGTTAAATAAGGTAATACAAATACGTCTTGGTAGTATATCTAACAAAAAGGTCAAATAATATTGGTGCTAAAGTGAAGCTTTGTTTACAGATAAAATAATAAAAAAATAGAAATAGAAAGTCTTTAATGAATGTTTTCAGTTCACCCAAAAGAGTTTTTTATGGATTTTAGTATTCTCCTGTATTCAGGAAGCTATTTTGTTGTCTCACTGAAATAGCATCAGAGACAATTGTCATGTATAGATTGGGACCCTGCCTGTGCCTAGCAGAGTTTCTGTCCGCTAGCAGTTTCAGCTGCTATGAACTGTGCCTGTTTGTGATGCTAGGTAAACAGCATTAAATGATTGCACGTTTTGGTTAAGCCCCATTTTCTCAAGACACTGTATACAGTCATCTACTTTATGCTGAATAGAGTCGATCTTTGTTGACTTGTAACGTTGTCATTTTGGGGGCTAGAGCAATATAAAGGAAGAGGAACTCAAAGAAATTGTTTCAGTTTCTGTGAGGTCTGTGCTATAGAAGCCAAAGGAGAACCAAATATAATACAAACTCATTATGTCTTTAGAAGAAACTGTTATTAAACAGTCAGTCAAGAGTTTGATGAAGGAAGTTTTATAATCACCTGATATAATGGAGGAAGAGTTTTTGCAAGAATGCAATTTTTAACTTAGTTGTTTCCTATCAGTTCTTTAAATGAGTATTTTCTTAACCATTACTTTTGGTACCTTTTATCCATCCAGAATGAAAGAAAGACAGTGAAAATGATGTATCAGGAAAATAGATTTCGTTTTGGTTACATCCCTGAAGTGAGGATCCGTATTTTAGAGCTGCCTTATGATGGAAGAGAACTTAGTATGATCATCCTGTTACCTGATGACATTGAAGATGACTCCACTGGACTGCAGAAGGTGACCCATCCAAGCTAATGCAGTTATTTAATGGATAAGTTCAGCCATTCAAAATTAAAGCCTTAATGAACCTGTGTTTTTAGAGCCCTATATCTATCAAGCGTATTTTTAGACTAGACTCTACTAGCACTGCAATAAAGGATACGTGCATGTGCTGTATCAGGAAGAGAAGTTGTGTTCTGGCTTTGTAGGTTGTGTTCACGTGTCCTTTGGCTTGACAAACAGAACCATGAGGGAGACTGCAAAAACAAAGTTACGGGAATTAACTTGCCTTGCTTTTTTTTTTTTTAATGACAGAACTTTTCTTGCATTACCTTTCAAAGTCAGTATTTTCATAGCCTTAAAGTAGTGACAGCATTTCCCATTAAATGACCAGGAACACATCAGCTTCTTTGAGCTCTCCGATGATTATTTTTGTTACTTGTTTTTAATTATGTAATTCCATTTAGTTACATTAAACAGTAAGAGTAACTGGGTTTAGTTGCTATCAGAGCATGTTTTTCCCTTATGTACATTGCAGCAAGAAGCAAGTGTCTGCATTACTTTGTAAAGTATAAACTGCACTGACTCCACTTAATTTTAATAGCATTTGTTTGATCAATATGGACCTATCAAAGATATGGGTATGGTCATTTTTTTATAGTTGCTTTATAGTCGTATAGTGCTGTATAAAGCCTTGTAAATGTTACTGAAAATGAAATATTTCTACACTGGTGATATGTAATGATCTCTGTCTTTTTAATTCTAGCTGGAAAAGCAGCTTACCTTAGAGAAGCTCCAGGAATGGACATGTCCAGAGCATCTATATTCCACTGATGTTCGTGTGCATTTGCCAAAGTTTAAGCTAGAAGAAAGCTATGACCTTAAATCAGATTTAGCCGCTATGGGCTTGTTGGATATATTTGACAGTGGCAAGGCTGACTTGTCGGGAATGTCAGGGGCACATGACCTCTTTCTCTCAAAAATTGTCCACAAGACTTTTGTAGAAGTGAATGAGGAAGGCACGGAAGCTGCAGCTGCCACTGCTGGCATTGCTATGCTCTGCAGTGCTATGGAAGAGGATTTCAATGCTGACCATCCTTTCCTTTTCTTTATTCGCCACAACCCAACGCAAAGCATACTTTTCTTCGGCAGATATGCTTCTCCATAAAAGAGAACTTAGCATTTGCAGACCAGTTCCTGCTGTAGTCAGTGAAAGCTTTGCTCCTGAATGAGTTGGATTTTGATCCAAGAAAGTTAATGCTCCTGTCTTGAGTATCTAGTCACTTTTTCACTGAGATTCTGCCTTTCCCACTAAAACAATCCCAGAGAAACTGAGAAGTGATTTATTTTTCTTTCTTGAGATTGCCATAAGCTTTAATAACTAAGAAATTCTTAACTGTAGGCAGAAAAAAATCTTTTTAAATTGGACTAGAAGTAGAAATACGCTTGGAAGAAATGTGTGTCTTTTAAAGCACAGGATCACCCTGTATGCATCCTTGCATGGGGTTTCTCTGTGTTGACAGGCCCCTGTTGTAATAACTTACAATAATCCAGTCATTCCTTATGCATGTATACTAGGATGTTCTTGCAAAGCTGTTCCTCCCCTAAAGTCTTGCTTTTCAATACCTTAATAAAATACTTCTAGGCACCAAAAGGCATGATACTAAACAGCTGAGTTTACCCAGTTCTGTTGTGAAATAGGTCAGATGATAACATTTGTTAGAGACATCTATTAATAGAGAAAGGATTAAGCTATTTAAACAAAAGTAACCCCTTCCAGTCATTAGCCAGAAAACCTGCAATGCAGCTTTTGAATGCGGAGGAGAAGAATAACAACTTTAGGTGACATGTTTAAAGAGGATTTTTAAAATTTATAGTCTGGTGCCATTCTAGTTATTGAAAACACGAAAAGGTATCAGGGCTTTGAGGTTTTAGGTGCTTGAAGCTAATGGGTGTCTTTCCACAAGTTCAGAAGTTTTCAGTATGACATTAGATTCTGGCCAGAACCTATGTAATCCTCAAAAAATGCTTCAGCTTCCCAGAGGATGACTGTGTATAGTCTGCAGTAAATATCTGATGTGTCTCTATGTACAAGGATTCAACATTTAGTGAACTGACTTCCAGTACCTCTTTATACACAAGCCTTTTGTACTGTACAACAGCCATATGCCTGGGAGCCACTGTAATTACATACTGTTAAGTGTTCTGTATTTATTTCTGGGGGTTATTTGCTTGTATCATGTATATCTTGGGTACTGTAATATTTACCTGTACAACTTCAGTTCTAAGTGGGGCACAATAATTTCTATAATTGCAAACTTTCCATAATTGCAAAATATTAATTTTGTCTTCATGCAACAAATAGAAGCCTTTTTCTTAAACTCGTGTTCCAAATGGAAATTTCTGCATGCAATTAAGTATCTCAGAGTACAAAAATAACTGTCTACCTGAAGGCTAGCTCCAGAGAAAACCACTGGTGCAGCAGGTGTGATCAGCTGCCTGAAGTCCTTGGCCTGTTCAGAGTAGGTGAAAATACTGAAAAACAAATTACTCAGTAGAAGAGATGATTGCATGAACTATCAGCTTCCCCTGCAAGTGTAATGACCCCAGCTGCTAGCACCTACAGGCAGAGAGTAACGGTTTATATGCAATGACACAAGTACTTGGTCTGCACATTAGTAAACGTGTTTCCGTGTGTTAGCAATACCTCAGTTGCAAAGGCTCTGGTAAATTTGTAAAGGAGAGCATGTATTGCAGAGTGCAGATGTGAACATAACCCCTTCTGTGCTGAATGCTTTGGAAACCCAGTGCTTCACAAATAATTGAGAAAAATATCGGCACAAAGCCCATGTAAAAACTTGGAATGGTTTGACGTTCTATTAGTTCTGGGTTTCTGGGCCTTTACCTTCAGCCTTTTAGCAAATAAAGCTTCTGCTGCCATAGATGGGTTTTTGCTAGAGTAAGGCTCAAAACTCCATTGTAATTACATCCTTATCTTTATATGCTTAAACTCAGTCAATGTATGCAAGATATGTGATGTCTGAAGGCTTTTAGGGCTGTAATTACCAGGATATCAGAAGAAAGATAAAACCTTGCATAATAGTACAAATCAGTGTAGCTTTATGAGGAGACTCATGTATTTATTATTTTGGTCTCAGTATTCAGTAACTGAACTATTACACTGAGACAAATTTGGCTTTCTACAGACGGGATGCACAAAATAAAATCTCAGCAATAAGAATCTCAATGAAGTCAGCTTCATATTCAACCATTTAAATAACCCCAGCCAGCCTATTGGCAAATATTCCCTTCCCATAATTCATGTCCCAAATAAGAAGGTTGTAAGTGTTTTTTCTTAATACTCCTTTTTTTCCTGTGCTCCTGTCAGGACAAGTGACTGACAAGGGCTGACTCCAGCAGGGAAAACTGGAATGCCAGCTGTATTCACATTTCTAAAAAATGAAATTCTGCTTCAGCTAGCTCATGTGAAGGACTTTATTTTTAGAACTACTGAATGAACACAGGTCTCACTGAGTTCAAAGAATGGTAATTTTCAGTCCGAGATACTTTAACTGAGGAAAAAGGAAGAAAATGTAATTTTAATGAGTTAAAGGTACAACATATGATATGAGAGAATGTCACATCAGAAGTCTCAATATAAAATCAGGACCCTAGCCTTAGTCTTAGCTAAGTAGCAGTCAGAAACCCACGCTCCCAATGTACAAAAAAATACTTTCCATATATAAAACCTGTCATTCATATTAACCCAGGGGACTGCAACATTAAAAAGTCAGACTGACTGCAGCTAAACTTCCTAGGAGGGGACCAAGAAGTACTTGAGCATGAAACTTCGCTGTTCAAAACCAATTTGCAACAGCCTGCTGGTCTGAGAAGACAACGTGATTTTTCTTCCAGTGGAAGAGAGGATTACAGCAGAGAGAGTTCACTCTCCATGTTGGCCGCTCCTAAGCAGACCGGGCTTTATAACAATCCAAAACTCAGAGCAGTTGTTGCTCACTGTGATGAGCAAGCCAGACTTTGTACTACTGCTTACATCTACTCTTTACGATAGCCCTTTGATTTCAGTAATTTAAAAAGAAAAACCACCACCCACCACCACCATTTGGCTGCTTTCTGTCTGAATCATACTATTTAAGTTGCTCTTCCTAGTAAGTAACTACCATCGTGTGGATAAGGAGGACAGTTATCTCTGGGTTTTAAGTCACCTTATCCTAGTGTCGTGGCTGAAACCAGGACACCTAGAGATAAATTCACATAGATGAGTTAACTCAGAGCATGTTTAGTAATACTTTCACTGTTAAGTGTTTTTATGTATTTATATATGACTAAAATCCTGATAAAGTACATAAACCTGATCAAGTCCCCAGATGTCTTGGAGACAGATATTTGTCTTGATTTTTTTTTAATATTGTTTCATTAGATAGGACTAAGACCAGTGCAATTCACTTGAACCTATTGAGATAAAGAGGTGCAACTGAAATCAGAAACTGTTTTTTTTGTTTTTTTATTTACTGTAGCGAACCTGTCCAGCTCTGTCATGTCATCTTATGGTAGTAACTAAATACGTATTCTTATCCGTATTCAGTAAGGGGCCTATGCAATCCCTGACTACTTAATAAAAGACAAAAACCACAGCCAAAATCCTGGAGAGCACAACCTGTTTGGAAACATGCTGAACATGCGCAGTGGCTGCTGGCAATTCAGATGATGAGTTCATCACATCAGCCAGAAAATGTTGTATCTTCAGGTTAAATAGAACTTGAAACAACCAGCTTGTATAATCACTTTTAAGTCCTATCATGGAATATGATAGACAGTCATTTTGGCCAAGAACTTTTCTCTCAACACAAGAGAAAATACTCACAGAAAAGGGAAAAAAAAATGCAGCCCAGAGGTTAATAGAGGATTTAAATTCTTTGTGCATGGAAAACAGTACAAGAAAAATAAAATAGAAGTAATGATTTCACAAAAATATTTAGCATAAGAGCCTTACCAGCTATATCATCCATTTTTTTATCTGCAAAAGTCAAGCTAGCTGAATAATAGAAACAATATTAGATAATTTTCTAAAAAACTGCAATGGAATTCATTGGGGGCATTATTTAATTGATGTTTCTGGTCTTGCTATCCATATCTTTGACATTGGTGTGTTACTACTGGGAGAAACAACTTACATCGGTACAAGTTGTTTCTCATATGTATTGAATTCCCCAACATGGGCTATGGGATGGCCTTTCTCATGGTCTGTGTTACTTCTTAGTGGAACAACTTACATAAGAGAAAAAGAGATCGTGGTATGGCAGATTTTGATGGTGCTCCTGAAGCTCCAGTGGAGGCAGCTGTCACCTGACAGGATCATAAATCTCATCCCCAATTTTTTGGTGGCAGTGCAACAATATTTGGTATTTCCTTAAAGCTCTACACTCTGATGATGAATACACCAGTATATCAGTATTTGATTCTTAAGAAGAGACCATTCTTGCCCTTAAGTGAGCTTCAAAAGGTAAGCCCCAGGCACTCAAAAGCCAGAAAACTAAGAAATACACTTCCACTATTTTTTAATTTCATTCTTTCATCTTGTGCTTTTGGAGCAACTTCACTAGGAGATTGGCTTCTGCTTGTTGAAAGAAACATTGCCAATCCTAAGTAGACACTTTACACATCATCGTGAGATGAAACAGACATTTTTGCCTTGGGTCTGTTCCAGAGACACAGGAATGATGTGGGGTGAAATGTCCATTTGTGAGGGCATCTGGTCCTGGCGGACTTTTTAATGGAGCATGGAGTTCTTCAATCAGTGGAGATGACCTTCTTTAGAGGGAATAGAAGAGATGCGCATCAGTGGGAGGGAGGAGCAGGGAGCAGCCACTCCGTTTCCCGTGTAGCATCTTGCTAATTACCATAGGGAGGAAGGGAAAAGTGAAATAATACTTTGCTTGGAAAGAGGCCATGAGGCACGACGGCTTTTGAACTTTAACTTGTTGTTGCCAACATTTTAGTAACCTGCACATCATACTGCACTGTCTGATGGAGCTCTCCTGAGGGGTGCAATCTCTTTTCACACACCGGTGGCTGAGGAATGAAAAAGCACCTCTGAACATTTTGCCAAGCTGTGCTGCCCTCTGAAGGGAAGCACGTGCTGCTTAGATTTATTCCAGCACTGGAAGAGATATCCTGACTAACTCTGCTCTGAAACTGGGGCATGGGGAGACAACTGATAGTTTCCAAGGAAAGGGAGGAGTAGGGGAAGGAAAAGGCACCCTACCCAGAGTACGCAGTAAACTCAGTCACAAGGAAAAATATTAGTGTGCATCCACCACATGTAACCATTGAGCTATTGGCTTAAATGTTGGCAGTATCCCCTGGCGTAGGACATTTGCAAGCTCGTTTGTCTTGTGTATTAGTCACTCCACGAGCACTTAGTGAAAT